TTAAGAGCATTCCATGGAATATAACAAAAAGTGTTTCTGAAGTGAATTACATACCCTTCCTTCAATTATAGTTTTATTTATTATTTTAAAACACCCAAAACTTCCCTCTGAGTTGCAGAATTCATACAGAAACCATGATGAGTAAAGTTGTGTTTGTATGTTTGTATATATAAAGGTGTACTCACTATGGCTCCAGGGTCATCAGGTGGTCCGGGGGCTTCCTGTATTTGTCGTACAGCTGGTTTAACGTCGACACGTATTCCCACTCCGAGTGGAGCAGCTGCATCGCCACCTGATGACGAGCGTCTGGAGGAAAAGAGAAACATTTTAATTAACGATAAATCACAATTCTGAAAAGAATATTCTGGGGGGGGGGAATCTGAAGAAAAAAACCATTTAATTTTCTTTTCTTTGAGAAATGGGGCGAAGCCTACAAGCTAGTTCAGGCAGTCAACTCGAGCACTTATGCTGCATTCATACATAACGCCCCTTGCCACTCTACAACCAACCAAACCGAGTCTCCTTAATATGCTGCTCTATTTAACCTGCCAGATCTCTCTCCATGCATTGCTTGCTGATCCTATTGCTGCAGCTACTTCCATGTCACTGCTGCTTGCCTGCCCCAGCATCCACCCCAGCTCCACCCCAGCTTCCACCCCAGCGTCCACCCCAGCTTCCATCCCAGCTTCCAACCCAGCTTCCACCCCAGCTTCCAACCCAGCTTCCACCCCAGCTTCCACCCCACCACCACCCCAGCTTCCGCCCCACCGCCACCCCAGCTTCCACCCCAGCTTCCAACCCAGCTTCCACCCCAGCGTCCACCCCAGCTTCCAACCCAGCTTCCACCCCACCACCACCCCAGCGTCCGCCCCAGCGTCCGCCCCAGCGTCCACCCCAGCTTCCACCCCAGCTTCCACCCCAGCTTCCACCCCAGCTTCCACCCCAGCGTCCACCCCAGCTTCCACCCCAGCTTCCACCCCAGCTTCCACCCCAGCGTCCACCCCAGCTTCCAACCCAGTTTCCACCCCAGCTTCCACCCCAGCTTCCAACCCAGCGTCCACCCCAGCGTCCACCCCAGCGTCCACCCCAGCTTCCAACCCAGCTTCCACCCCAGCGTCTGCCCCAGCGTCCAACCCAGCTTCCAACCCAGCGTCCACCCCAGCGTCCACCCCAGCTTCCACCCCAGCTTCCAACCCAGTTTCCACCCCAGCTTCCAACCCAGCATCCACCTCAGCTTCCAACCCAGCGTCCACCCCAGCGTCCCCCAGCGTCCACCCCAGCTTCCACCCCAGCGTCCACCTGTAGGCTCGGGGGGTTAGTTATTTAATCATCCCTCATCGTGCGATGTATATCTGTGGAGTGATGAGGCCCGAGCCTAGACGCCAAACTCAACTATATGCTGCTTCTAACAAACATGTCAAAGAAACACGTGAGTTGTCTGACTGAAATATATATTTTTTTTTTTTCTCAGATCATTTAGTTTTTTGTGAAAATTGAATTTTTTCGTCTTCTGAAAATCTCAGAATTCCGAGAACTGTCCAAATTCTGACTTTTTATTAGAATTCTGAAGAAAAAACAATTACATTTTCTCTAAGAATTGTTTTTTTTCATTTTTTATCCTGAAAATCTCAGTATTCAGATTTCATTCTCAGAAAAATGTTGCCGGAAAATCTCAGAAATCAGAATTTCCTTTTTTGAAAAAATAAATATATACAGTGCACCCGGAAAGTATTCATACCCCTTCACTTTTTCCACATTTTGTTATGTTTCAGCCATACTTCAAAATTGATTAAAGGTATTTTCTCCACATTCTAGACACAAAACCCCATAATGACCAAGTGGAAAAAGTTTTAAAATAATTTTTGCAAATGAATTAAAAGTAAAACCATTACAATTACAGCCTCAAGTCTTCTTGAGTATGACGCTACACGCTTGGCACACCTCTTTAGACAGTTTCTCCCATCATTCTTTGCAGATCGTCTCAAGCTCCATCAGCTTGGATGGCGAGCACAGCCATTTTCAGATCTCTCCAGAGATGTTCAATCGGGTTCAAGTCTGGGCTCTGGCTGGGCCACTCAAGGACATTCACAGACTTGTCCCGAAGCCACTCCTTTGTTATCTTGGCTGTGTGCTTAGGGTCGTTATCCTGTTGAAAGGTGAACCTTCGCCCCAGTCTGAGGTCCAGAGCACTCTGGAGCAGGTTTTAATCAAGGATCTCTCCGCACATTGCTGTATTCATCTTTCCTTTGATCCTGACTAGTCTCCCAGTTCCTGCTGCTGAAAAACATCCCCACAGCAGGATGCTGCCACCACCATGCTTCACTGTAGGGATGGTGTTGGCAGGTCTGGTTTCCTCCAGACATGATGGTGGAGTGCTGCACAGATGGTTGTCCTTCTGGAAGGTTCTCCCATCTCCACAGAGGAACACTGGAGCTCTGTCAGAGTGATCATCGGGTTTTTGGTCACCACTCTGACCAAGGCCCTTCTCCCCCGATGTTCAGTTTGGTTTGGGCGAGCAGCTTTAGGAAGAGCCGTGGTGGTTTCAAACATCTTCCATTTGCAAGTAATTGAGACCACTGTGCTCGTTGGGACGTTCAATGCTGCAGACATTTTACCCTTCCCCAGATCTGTGCCTTGATACAATCCTGTCTCTGAGGTCTACAGTCAATTCCTTGGACTTCATGACTTGGTTTATGCTCTGATATGCACTGTCAACTGTGTGACCTTATATAGACAGGTGTGTTCCTTTCCAAGTCATGTCCAATCTATTTAATTTAACACAAGTGGACTCCAATCAAGTTATAGAAACATTTCAAGGATGATCAGCTCAATTTCAGTGTCAAAGCAAAGGGTGTGAATACTTATGTACATGTGATATTTCATTTGATTATTTTTAACACGTTTGCAAAAAATTATTTCAAAATGTTTTCACTTTGTCATTATGGGGTATCGTGTGTGGAATATTGAGAAACAAAATGAATTTAATCCATTTTGAAATAAGGCTGTAACATAACAAAATGTGTACAAAGTTAAGGGGTGTGAACACTTTTAAATACACTGTATTTGTTTCTCTCAGAATATTTTGTTTTCTTTTTCTGAAAATCTCAGAACTCCCAAAAATGTCACTTTTGGTCAAATAACACAAAAAATGCCTTACATATCTGACATCTGTAACAAAATGAGTACATTTATTGATATTTTTCTCACCAGTGCCCTCATTCAGTCCGGCTTTGAGTCCCTGCAGGAAGCAGTGCAGCAGCAGCTTCCCCCGGGACACACACGACGCAGCACACACACACTGCGTCCTGCGCTCACACACATCACCGCTGAACAAAACACAAGGAACCATGGAAACAACTGTTATTTATTTATCTATTTAATTATTTAAGTATTTGTTGTTGTTTTACTGACCTCTTGGCTGTGGCGCTCTTGTCTTCCTCCAGAGGTTTCTGTCTGTAGAGCTGCAGGATCTGACCGCTCATCACCCCGAGCTCATCCTGCAGGAAAACAAGCAAAACACTCAAGAAATACACCAACAAATATTATTAACAATGTGTGTTGGGATCAGGGGATTGCCCACAGTATTGAGTATGTAAGTCGCTTTGGATAAAAAAAATTAAAAAAATTAAAAAAGTGTCTAACAACAAGTGACATGTAATGTAAAGTAATGTAATGTACAAATAAAAATATATACAAAGCACAAAAAACACAGCATATAGTTGTATTCCTAGAAGATGTTCAGTTGACGGTGTTACAGGTGTGGTGTGTCAGGGCGTTGATTAAACAGCTGATTGCTGCAGGTGTGCCTCAACAGAAGACCACTCTGAAATGTGCAGCTGTTCTCTCCTACGTCCCTTTGAACTTTGGATTATACATGTTTTTTTATATGGATATGACTATTGTGGTTGCACTGGGTTTAAAGAGAACACTTCTGCAAAGTGCCGGATGCTGTCGAAGGTGAGCACACACTATGAGAGTTCACTATGGAGTGAAAGGTACAGTATGACATAAAGAACAGGAAAATACATGTGTTGAAAAGTCAGAAAAATAACAACATCATTTGGAAATATTAAATCTGTAATCTAATTATTGTAAAAAATGAATAATAAAATAATAGATGAATGGTGCAAAAATAATGAAAAATTAAATAAAAAAATGTGGAATTGCTTGAAGAAGAAAAAACATTTAGTGAGTAAAAATAAATAGAGAAATAAAAGATAACGAAATAAAATATCTGCAAATAAAATACGATAAAGTAATAGATTAAAAAAAATGGTATATAGTTATTCTGTCTAATAACTGTAATGGGTGCACATCTTTGAGAGAATATAACCCATTGTATGTATTATGATTATGTGATCACAACCCTCTGTCTCCACATGATCACATGTCCCTCATCATCTGATGGTCTCACCCTCAGAGCCTCCACCAGCGCCTCCACACGCAGAGCCTTCTTCCTGCAGCTCCTCCGGTTCTCCTGCAGCTCCTCCCTCAGGTCGCTGTCTCCATGCTGGATCTGACTGAGCTCCATCAGGGCGCCGCTGAAGCCCGACTTCAGCTCCGACACCATGCCCTGCAGCTGATAGATCACTCACAATGTTAATTACATTCATCAAAGCGGCACAATAAAACATATGTTCACACTCCTGATGCTGTAAGCATTTTAAACTGACAGCGGCCCCTCTGACCTAAAATAGACGCGTACCAACCAGGAGGAGACACAAAATGAGACACAAGTTCATCAGAAAAATGCACAATGAATGCCCAAATAATAGACAAAAAAGGAAACAAAACGGACACGAACTCAACACGAAATACCTACAAAGAAACCTACACATTTACCACAAAAGTAAAACAATTACTACAGAGCCATGATTAGGTGAAAAGGTGCTACAGGGCGATACAACATTATACAAAAATAACTAGAGACACACGTAACGACCTCAAAGGGACTCAAATGGACTACACAAAGACACAAAGCGCCCAAATAATACATAATACAAGCGGACACAAAACTACCGTAGAAGATGGAAATCTACTGGAAAGACAAATGACGACAAGGACACATGATGGACCAAAGAATACAAAGTGAAAAACAAAACAAAAAGAGATTCAACAACTATAAATGTGTGTGTGTTTGTGACTAAAGGTGTTCAACCAGTTGTCTCATAATCCAGACAGAGACATTGGTCAAACAGAAGTAAAAAGAGCTCTAAATGTAATGTGAGCTGAGTCTTTAAAGGTCCCAGGAGTGGGGGGGGCAGGAGCTCCAACAAGCCGTTTAGGACAGAGAGTGAATACACACTATACAGAGATGCTGTATGAGAAACCAATGTGAGTTTGGAACTTTGCACAATATAAATCTATTCTATCCAACAATGGAATTATGATATGATCAGTAGAAATGGCCATGACATGGGACCTTTAACAGAGGATAATGAGAGGAGCTGCAGGATAAATACCTTTGAGATCTCAGAGACGAGCTCGGCCTCCTGAGGCTTCATGACCTTCAGAGACACAGAAACAGCACACAAACAACACAGACAACACAAACAACAGGGCTGTTTGCAAACTCTGTGATAATCTGCACAAACATCACAAGTGTCTAAAGCTGAGGAAATGAGTAAAGTAGAGTTTGTAAGTCCACTGTGCAGTGAAAGGCATGCTCTCTTGTGTAATTCACTCCAAAACATAAGATATCATTAAAAAAAACTATTCAATATTTAACCTCTTCTGAACTAAATGCATATTTAATTGGTGGAAAAATGACAAAAACCATATTAACTCCAAGTGTATTTCCAGTTGCTTCAAGCACAAATGAATTTAAAACCAAAACAGCCTATGAATACTTTTCTGCAGAATATTTAGCCAAGTGTATTTATAATTTAACATATGTATATTTATTGCATTAATATAAGCATACGATAATCAATCCCGCTTAATAATACAAAATAAAGTTTTTAGTAAATTGAGTAAATGGAAAATGTGTTTAAAGCACTGAAAACATCTAATTTCTTTCACATGTTATACTCCCACCCATATATTAAAGCGTGTGCATTTACTAGAATAGTTCAAATCACATTATAACCCAGATTTAAGGAGTTACATCATGTGTGTACCTGCTCAGATGTTGCTCTGCCAGCAGCCGCTCTGCTGAGGAAGCGTCCGGCTGCCAGAGAGCTGCAGGAAATATCTGCCAGAGCCAAGATCTGCTTATAGACAGAAGGCAGGATCAGCAGAACAACTGAACATCCAACATGCAACACATTTGTGTTTTTGCAAAAATGAATAATTTAAATGCACTTTTAAACTGCCTAATAACAGATCTCCTTATATCACTTTCAAAATGTGCAGAAATCTATTTTTTGCTGCAGGTTGTGAGACGTACATGCTACTTATAACATTTTGTAACATGATAATAAGTGAGTGAAGTTAAATGAAGAAAAGCAACAGGACTCACCTTAGTTGGAGCTCTTAGATATTCCTCCTCCAGACATCTGAAAAGAGGCAGTAAATCCCCCCAAAAGACCCCAAATATCCGGTGCTTCCTCCTCTGTGGAGACGTGTGGATGTAGTGATGAGCGGTGTGTGTGTGTGTGTGTGTGTGTGTGTGTGTGTGTGTGTGTGTGTGTGTGTGTGTGTGTGTGTGTGTGTGTGTGTGTGTGTGTGTGTGTGTGTGTGTGTGTGTCTCCCGTGTAGCAGACTGTGTGTACATGAGGTGTTTCTCATGCTGCTAAGGAAGTCACGTTCAGTGTGTATCATGTAACCGTACAGGAAACACTTTACTATATTATTGTAAAACAGTATATTGTTTTGCATTTGTGTAAATGTTTTCCTTTTCAACATTTTATTGTAATAATAAATAAACATTTTATTGTAATAATAAATAAACAATATTATCGTAATAATAATATTTGAAGTTGGTTTACAAATAAATAAATTAACTAAACCCCTGCTACACTACGAGTAAGATGCTGACATTTCATTATTCCATTGAAATGTAAAATGTAAAAATATATTAAAAAAATTGTAAATTATGTGCAAAAATAAATACAAATACATTTTATATTTAGTGTTATTTATGTGCAGAATATATAAACTAATATAGTATTTTCATATATTGTGTTATTGTGTATATTTACTGCATGATTTTACTCGGTTTCACGTTGAGGTCATCGTTGAGACCTTGAGACACGTCGAACAACATTACGTTAATAGATTTTATCACCAGGTCCCAGAAAACGGGAGAGATGATTTTGTCGCCTGTGATTTCCCTTTAATTTTCTTCACTCCGCCCGTGTGGATCAGTCTGCAGAATAAATGGAGCGGCACTGTTTTGTGGAGGGGCGTGGTTAAGGGGCAGTACTTGAATCTGATTGGCCGCTTGGCTCAGTTAAAACTTTTCAAATCTACAGCAGCTGACGGAGCTGTCAAAACAGCCGGTGAGCGAGGTGAGAAATAACGACAATTAATACTGTATTTATCCACATTTATGTATTGCTTTAACACTATACAGCTTCTAATTAATCTCTTATAACAGCTACTTAAAGATATTTGATATAATTCCTCTTTGTTTGGCGACTTTGTCTCATAAATTAGCTTTAGAGCTAACGTTAGCTAACTGACTGTCAGTAACACATGTCTCTGAACGTCATTCATATAAATAATAATAATTAAAACTGTAAATGTTAAATAAAGTGTTGTGTTTTAATATGTTTTGGGTATCAGAGCTAGCTTTAGCCAGAGTATAGCAGGTTTTATTCATAATTTTAATGTCTGTGTTTAGCCTAGCTGTTGACATGTTAGCTTATTTAAAGGACCGATGTTTAATCAAATAAAGAGTGCACGGAAAAGAAAACATGCAAACTTAAAGGTCCCATATCATACTGTTTTTATCAATATATTATAGGGGGGAGGGGGAGCGGCGCAGAGGAACAGCAGAGTGTCTTATCTAGGTTAAAGTTAGACGACTACAATTACATACAATACATGTAATTTGTGTGTGTGTGTGTGTGTGTGTGTGTTACAAGTGAATCTGCGGCCCCCTGGTGGCCAGTACATACATTATGTGGCCCCCACCACCATCCAAGTTGC